TTATTTTTCAACAGCAAATGGAACCTATATCATGCAAAGGAGGATCAATCCAAAGCAAGCCTTAAGAATAGAAACACGCACAACAGTGAATGAAACAACATGTATATATATCATTAAAAACGTAAGGATTGCAATAGAGTTCTTTGGTTATATCTAACCCCACAAAAATTGGGTAGAACCACTCAAAACAATAAGGGGAAAACAAAAATAGAAATGGAAGAGAGAATGAAGAACCGAAGGAAAGACTCACACACGAACGACCCCAAGCTCCGGGAATCCCTTCCTCAGCTCCTAGAATGCGTCCAATGTGCGAATGAGGAGCAAAGCCTCGAAGATTTCTTCAAACACGAGCTTAGGGAGTCAGATTAGGATTACACACCCTGTGCATTAGTCTTTGCGCCCGGCGCAGGGCCTTCCAGATAGCTTAGTTGCTCTCTGCCTCAGGACACGCCCGGCACAATTCCTTTTACGCCCGGCGCAATGCCTTCCAGAGAGTTTGAGTTACTCTCTGTCTCGATCACACCCGGCGAGAGTAGTCTCGTGCCCGGCGCAGGTATGACTTGCAGAGGTGTGGCACTCTGTTTTGCTCACGCCCGGTGCGGGTAGTCTTGCGCCTAGCGCAGTTACTTTTCTCTACTCCTTAACTCCTTAAATTTCCAATCCTATGGGTTTTTAATCCTCAATTCTCTAGCTCAATACCTGCACAAAAAATGAGATGTATTAGGGTATTGTTAGCTAAATTCTGGGTTAGCTATATCTGCACACAAAATGAACCAAAAAGAGAACAATTATCATGCAATGGTGCAAAGGATGAGTTGAATTGTTTAATAAGTCTTGTCCAAAAAGAAGTATAATTGAGACTTAACAACTCCCCCACACTTAGAACCTTGCTTGCCCTCAAGCAACAGGTAATTGATCTAGCAAATACCAATCAATGCATGTATGTCAAATTCTACATCCTAATTCCCTTGGATTTTCTTTTCGCAAGCATGAACCTTAGATGAATTTTTTGTCACAATTATTGCAATAGAACATGACAAGGTGCAAATAAAGGTTTCAAAAGAGATCAAAGAGCTGAGAAAAGTTAATGACCATCTATGAATGCATCCTCACTAGGAAAGTGTTTCTCTCTATGCATACTAGTGTATCATGGTGAGTGTTTCTCTCAAGTCTACTACTCACACCACATAATTCAACTTTGCTATTCGTTTCCAAATGGAACCAATGGTAATACAAATGCAGGCACTTATCACAAGGTCTTTATTAGGGCAATCTAGGTAAATCAATAACAATCTTATGGTTTTTCAAGGATTGAAGGTGTTATGGCTTAAGAGAGCAATTGAGATTCTACAATGATGTCCCTCTCCATACCCCAATACAACATTTTAGTACATGCCCTTAACCGGATCCAAGCCATTAGCCTTTATGTGATGCATATTTACACTTTTGCATCTTAATATTTTTTTTTTTGTTTTGTTTTGTTTTGTTTTGTTTTGTTTTGTTTTGTTTTGTTTTGTTTTGTTTTGTTTTGTTTTGTTTTGTTTTGTTTTGTTTTGTTTTGTTTTGTTTTGTTTTGTTTTTTTTTAATGGCTGACCACATACTTTCTTCTTCCCAAAATTCCTCATTCTTCAACTCTCCTAAACTTGTTTAATGTCATCAATTTACTCTCTTAACCAAAGCAAAGGTTATGGTTAATTTTTTTCACAATTTGGGATAAGTGGAAGGTGTGGTGTTTAGGCTTAGGAAGCTATGGGTCAAGTAAAAAGTGGAAATGGCTTTTTTGGCTTAGATGGTTAGCAAAATAAAGGAATATGAATGCCTTGATCATATAAATGCACAACACTAGCAACCACCAGGGAAACTCAAGCAAAGTCTATCATGCAACTTAAGCGTAGTTCACTCATCAGTATTTAGGCTCAAACCTCACCCAGCTATGCATCCACAGATTACCAAACTCGGCTCAATACTATGAACAACATTGAAACCCGTATGCAACTAGTCATGAACTAAAGATCTAACGTGACTTGAAAATGTCTAAGGTACACGTACCACAAACATCAAGCAAACCACAATCCATAATCGACCACAAGCAAAGCAAGTATCAACAAGATTAAAAACCGTGCTAAAGCATAATATTCACAAAAAGGAACGAACAGAGTAATCACCAAAAAGACACTAAATATAACAGAGTTCTTAAACAAGAATAATTAAACAACTAAAATTAAAAGACACAAAAATAAACTGCAAAAAACAATAAGTGGTCTAAGGTAGGCTCCATCTGCATCCATCTATGGAGCTTGGTCATCATCAAGTCCGGGGTCTGCTCCACCCTCATCAGCAGCAGCTCTAGCATCCTCAGCAGCTCCACCCCCCAAAGAAAGGGGCCTTGTCCCCAGGCCAACCAGTGTAGGCATGATAATCCGCAGTGGAAGGGAACTGGTAGCCGGGAGCGGAGTGCAACGTGAAATTCTTGAAGGCATCTAAAATGAAGATCTGGCCACGGTGGAGGGACTCTTGCTGCTGCATAAAGGTGTCCATCCGTCCCTCCTGCCTCTACATAAAGTTGTCCATGCGGCCCTCTAGAGCGTCAAAATGTTGATGGATAGTGAGTGGAGGGCCTGGAGCAGGAGCATCATCCATGGGCACGTCCTCTTGAGGCCCAGCAGCATGAATGGGCTCTGGTGTGGGAATGGCCGGTGGTGGGCAGTCTTGGCAATATGTAGAGATGTACTTGCTATCAATCGACCGGCCAGGACCCTCAAATGGTGGCGAGTGGACATCGACACCAGCCAGCTGACATAACTACGTGATGAGAGAAGGATGTCCAAGGGCGGCGGAGGGAGGAGAGTTGGCGCATCCCGAGATCTCCACACAGATGATCCTGCCCAGGTCCACGGTCCTCCCTTTCATGATGCAGTACATCAGCATGGCCCTGGTCCAGTGCAAGTCAGAAACATGTGAGCACGGGAGGATGTTGGCATGCACCAATGCGGACCAAATCCTGACAACCGGTAGTAGATCCTGGCGCTTCACGTGGAGAGGCTGCTGAGCTCGATTCTTGTGAAAGCTTGCCCCGGGCATGCATATGGCAACCTCTACCACCACAGGGTCCATCGTCGTGCCCGATTAGTTCCCAAACTCACATTTCTCCTCAAGCGTCAGTGCAGTCGCCAAAAAGTCATTAATCGTCTGGGCGTCAAAGGGGACTCGCACACCCCTCACATAGCTGGAATATGGCACAATGCCCTCCTTTGGTCTCAGGGCATTGGCATAGAACTCCTTGACTACAACTATATTGGCTGGAAGGGGTAGGAGCCAAGCTTGTCCCACCAGCACCTATGCAGCTCAATTTGGAACTCTTGTGCCTCGACGTCGCCAACTCAACCTGCCTCTCTAAAATGAATTTCCTGCCAATGATGGACTCAAAATGTGCCTCATTACGTTTGGTGAGGAATTGGCAGGAATAGGGTGACTCTGCTTGCGGGGAGGCTGACCCGGTTGGTCGGAGCGGGGATGTTTGCTTGCGGAGGCCATTTGTAGAAAATAACACAAGAAATCCCAGGCAGACAGATGAGAATAACAAGATAGACAAGGATGAACATTTTAGGTAACGCAAAATGAAGACTAGCCTTAGACCGAAATTGAAACATGAATTGGAAAAAAAAGAAACTAAACTAGAACAATCTAACCACATAAAGCACAGAAACATAAAAAGAAAATAAAACACAACAAAAACAAAGGGGCCAGAGGTGTATGCGTCGGGCGCAAAACAAAATTGCGTCGGGCGCAAAAATACCAGAGGGGTTATATTATTTAAGCACGTTGGGCGTAGTTCTTCACGCCTGGCTCATGTTCAAAACCCCAAGGTTTTACAGAACAGCCTTGCGTACAAGGGCATAAAAAAATCCATCTTTTGGTGCCAAAACCCCCAATGCAGGTTAGCGGAACCCCCATGGCAACCCAAAATTAAGAAAAAATGAAGAACCAGTTACAAAAGAAAAGAAAACACTAAGCACGAAAACCTACTTGAATGTGGAGTTGATTGAGGAGGAAATAGAGGCAGGTGCGTGCTCTTGAGAGTGCGAAACGTTGACCACGCCGGAGGGATGAAGGATGTGGAGAAAAGATAGTGGGAAGGAGATGTTTATGGGAGAAAAGAGAGAGTGATGGGAGGAAGAGGGGGCGTGAGAGAGTTGAGAGAGGTGATGGGGCGTGAGAGAGGGAAGAGAGGTGAAGGAGAAGTTGAGAGAAAAGGGAGTGTTGTGGGTAGTTGAGAGGTTGAAATGAGAGTGGGGAAGAGGGGAAAGTGGTTAAGGGCAACTAAAACGACGTGTCGGGCATGCAATTCATGCGCCGGGCTTGCTATCAGAAGAAGCCCAAGGGTTTCCCTTACCTGGTATCGCGCCGTGCGTATTTAGGGTAAACACGAGCAAGCATTCAATGCACCGGGCTTGACAGATACGCGCCCGACGTATTTAAGGCAGGGATCTTCCAGTGATTAATGCGCTGGGCGCATTCATGAGTGCACCGGGCGTGCTACCCCTAGAGCCTCTAGCCTTTAATGCGCTCGGCGTGCCAATAAAAATGCACCGGGCGTGGTTGTTCAAGGGGTCTCTAATGAATGCTAGGCCAGACAAAATAGAATTACGCCCGGCGTGAGGCTTGGCAGAGACCAAATGGCTCTAGTTGCACCGGGCGTGGCTATGTCGCGCCCGATGTGGTCAACTCTATGAAGGTTTTACCTGACTTTTCCACTCCTCACACTCCTAACAGGATCTAATCTATATCTACCCATTCAAGCATGATTCACACAATTGCATACAACACAAACAATCACAATGCAAGTCACATAAACAATTATAGCATATAACTATAACACACATTCACAATCAAAACTAAAACACCAAGTAACTGAAAAACATATGAAACAAAGTTCAGATCTCTGGGTTGCCTCCTAGGAAGCGCTTGTTTAATGTCTCGAGCCTGACTAGAAGAGACTTCAAGGGTCTCTGAAAGAAAGGATACAACAGAGTCTTTCAACTTCTCCACCCAAGTAGGGTTTCAGTCGCTGTCCATTCACAACCCAGCTTCTTTGTGCCTCAGGATCTTCAATTTCTATGGCACCATAGGGTTTCACCTCCTTGACTCTCAAAGGGCCAGACCATTTAGATCTTAGTTTTCCAGAGAAGAGTTTGAGCCTGGAGTTGAACAATAACATTGACTAGCCTGCCCTGAACTCTCTCTTGAGAATCTTCCTGTCATGATAGCTCTTGACTTTCTCCTTGTACAGCTTGGATGATTCATAGGCTTGAAGCCTCAATTCATCAAGAGCATGCAGCTCCAACTTCCTATTCTCACCAGTACTGAGAGGATTAAAATTTAACATCTTCAAAGCCCAATAAGCTTTGTGCTCAAGTTCTACAGGAAGATGGCAAGCTTTCCCATACACCAATTCCAATCGGAGATTTGAAGGCGGTTCTATAAGCCTATAAATCTTCATCAAGCTTTGTAGACCAATCCTTCCTTGAAGATGACACAGTTTTCTCCAAAAATCCTCTTGATCTCTCTGTTAGAAACTTCAGCTTGATGCCCATTGGTTTGAGGGTGGTAGGCGATGGCAACCTTATGATGGACTCCATAGTGTTCTAGAGCCCTCTCCAACTGAGCATTGCAGAAGTGTGAACCTCCATCACTAATAAGTACCCTAGGGGTGCCAAATCTGCTGAAAATGTGCTTCTTGAGGAACTTCACCACTATTTTGCCATCCGCCTTGGGTGTAGCAATAGCTTCAACCCATTTTGAGACATAGTCCACTGCCACAAGGATGTATTCATTTATGAAAGAAGAAGGCAGTGGTCCAACAAAATCTATGCCCCGGCAATCAAACACCTCAACCTCCTGCATGTTCTGTAAGGGCATTTCATGCTTCCTTGTGATTCCCTCGGCCCTCTGACAACTGTCACACTGCTTGGCATGACTGTGAGCATCTTTGAAGAGCGTCGGCCAGTAAAAACCATATTGAAGCACCTTAGCAGCTGTCCTTTCTCCATTGAAATGTCTTCCATAAGGAGAATTGTGACAGTGCCATAGAATACTCTTGGCCTCCTCTCTTGAAACACACCTCCTCAGTAGGCCGTCTGAACCAATCTTGAACAAGTGAGGATCATCCCACACATAATAGGTAGCATCACGCAGGAACTTCTTTTTCTGGTGCCATGTGAAATCTTCAAGTATAACTCCAGCTGCCTTGAAGTTTTCTAGGTCCGCAAACCAAGGCCGCTCTTGCACCATAAGTAGTTTTTCATCAGGGAACTCCTCCAGGATCTCCCTCTCCTTCATGGTCACCTCATCATTTATAAGCCTTAAGAGGTGGTCAGCAACCAGATTTTCCTTGCCACTCTTATCTTTGATCTCCAAATCAAACTCTTGAAGTAAAAGAATCCACCTAATGAGTCTTGGCTTGGAATCCAGCTTGGTGAGTAAATACTTAATTGTTGCATGATCTGCCACTTTGGAACCAATCAAATAAGACCGAAACTTTTCCAATGCAAACACTAGTGGCATAATTAATTTGTGCCTCATTTAACACCTTGCTCGCATAGTGAATAGCATGAAAAGTTTTAGTCCTCCTTTGGCCTAAGACTGCCCCAACCGCATAATCACTAGCATCACACATGAGTTCAAAATCAAGTTTCCAATCCGGTGCAGTGATTATGGGTGCAAAGGTGAGTCTAGCCTTCAAAGCTTCAAAAGCTTTCAGACAATAATCATTAAAACAGAAAGGAGTGTCTTTGTTTAGGAGATTACCTAGGGGTCTGGCTATCATTGAAAAGTCTTTAATATATCTCCTGAAAAAGCCAGCATGCCCCAAGAAACTCCTAATACCTTTGACATTGATGGGTGGAGGGAGTTTTTCTATTACCTCCACTTTGGCGGGGTCAACTTCAATGCCTTTGTGAGAGATTTTGTGCCCCAAGACTATCCCCTCGGTCACCATGAAATGGCATTTTTCCCAGTTGAGGATAAGGTTGGTCTCTAAGCATCTTCTAAGCACCACTTCAAGATTGGTTAGGCACTCATCAAATGAAGACCCAAACACAGAGAAATTGTCCATGAAAACCTCAATGCTCTTCTCCACCAAGTCGGAGAATATAGCTAGCATGCATCTTTGAAATGTTGCAGGAGCATTGCACAGTCCAAATGGCATCTTTCGATAAGTAAATACACCAAAAGGACATGTGAAAGCGGTCTTCTCTTGATCTTCCGGATCAACCACAATCTAGTTGTAGCCTGAATACCCATCGAGAAAGCAATAATAAGCTTGGCCAGCTAATCTCTCAAGCATCTGATCCATGAATGGGAGTGGGAAATGATCCTTCCTTGTAGCTTTGTTGAGCTTTCGGTAATCAATACACATTCTCCACCCATGACCGTCCTAGAAGGAATCAACTCATTCTTCTCATTTTGAATCACCGTCATGCCACCCTTCTTTGGAACCACTTGTACAGGGCTCACCCATGCACTATCAGAAATAGGGTAGATCATACCGGCATCCAACAACTCAATCACTTCCTTCTTCACTACCTCCTTCATCACAGGATTAAGCCGCCTCTGTGGTTGAGCAACCGGTTTGTACTCATCCTCCATAAATATCTTATGCATGCAATAAGCCGGGCTAATTCCCTTGAGATCAGAAATAGACCAACCAATTGCCCCTTGATAGAACTTCAATACTCTCACAAGCTTTTCCTCCTCCAATGTGGATAAGGAACTACTTATGACGACCGGTTTGCTTCCACCTTCTTCTAGAAACACATACTTGAGATGAAAATGAAGTATTTTTAACTCAAGCTTAAGGGTATTCACCTCCCCTTCCTCCTTCAAATCTTCTATATGCACCGAATTGGGTGTTCCCTCTTAATAGGAGTAAAGGATCTTCAGACATGCCTCAATCTCTCGGTCTTCTTCTTCATGGAGGTATTCTACCACATTGATTAAGACTTTCTCCAAAGGAGTGGAAAAAGAGACATGCTTCCTGGTATCTTCAATAAGGCCGTCGCATCGACCCGGAAGCAACTACTCTTGTCCTTGGGGTAGTGCATGGCATCAAAAACATCAAAGTTGACTTCTTCATCATTCACTCTCACCTTAAGTTTCCCATCATCCACATCAATTAGAACTTGTGCAGTCTTCATGAATGGTTGGCCAAGAATGAGAGGTACATCAATATCCTCTTCTATATCCATCACCACGAAATCAGTGGGAAACAAAAAATGGTCCACCTTCACCAGAACATCCTCCATTATGCCATGAGGATACTTCACAGATCGATCAGCCAACTGCAAAGTCATGCGAGTAGGTTTCACCTCAAAATCACCAATCCTCTGAAGCATAGATAAGGGCATAAGATTGATGCTAGCCCCCAAATCAAGCAAAGCCTTCCCAATAGCTAAACTCCCAATAGTGACTGGAAGAGTGAAACTACCAGGGTCCTTAGATTTTGTTGGCAACATCTTCTGAATAATGGCACTACATCCCGCCTCCAATGTAATGGTCTCCTCTTCAAAATATTTCCTCTTTTTGGTGAGTAGCTCCTTCATGAACTTGGCATAAGTAGGCATTTGCTCTAATGCCTCGGAGAACGGAATGTTGATCTGCAAGGTCTTGAAAATCTCTAAGAACCGAGCATATTGCCTCTCCTTATCTCTTCTTGAAGGTGCATGAGGATATGGTAGGCTCTTGGTGGGTGGCACTTTTACAATACTCCTCTCCTCCATGGGTGCTTTCTTTTTCTCTCTACTAACTCCGTCTTTCTCTTTTTCAATTTCTTTCTTTTTCTCATTCATTTTATCATTTTCATTTTTCATTTTATTCTCATCAACCATCTCACTTCCTTCACTCCTTCTCCATACTCCTGGGCCCTCTAAGATGATCTCTTCATCGACACTAGCATCATCTTCCACACCCATGTCATTTTTTCTTTGCTCTCATTCTTCTTCTCACTCTCCTTCACCACAAATTCCCGACCACTCCTTGTAGATACTACATTCAAGTGCCCCTTCGAGTTTTGCTCGGTGTTGGCTAAGAAAGAACCTTTTTGCTGCTCTGCTAGCTGCTTTGCTA